CCATGACTTAGCTGTTTAACATCCTTCTGTCACATCAGTATCTCACCTTCCTCTCCACTTCATTCCTTTCAGCTATCTCCGCCTCTTTCGCCACATCTTCAGCTTTAAGAGCCCGTCGAAAAAGGGGACAAAGTCGGCAGTTTAAATCTGGCAAACATTGTTTTTTCTCTTTTTCGTATTGAACCCAAAACTAACGTATTGACAAATAAGAAGACGATTGAAAAACTGTCACAAGTTGTAAGCAGTTCTTACCTTCCTTCATATTCTTGCCAGGTAACGAAATCGCTGCACTATTCTTGCCGTCTTGCAGATGGCGTTGCAGGAAACAACCAACACTACACGGACTTAGAGGAGGGAATCTGTCTTCATTTGGTTTGCAAACCTTCCGAACAAACTTTTTCAGTCATACACATGACTGCAGTCATGTTGACCGTATTTGTGTCTAAACTCTGAACTCTTTCTTTGTCAATTACAAAGGAGCGGCTCTCTAAACCTGGATCTTTGTTCGACCTCACAATTCGCCACTCCTGGAAAATTTTATAGGCCCATTTCGGGTGGACTTGGGGACATTTTTTTTATTTTGTGTACTAGGGAAGGCGAGCAGGTCTGTTTCTTTTATGTGTGCGAGTGGAGGAGTTTCCTGTTGGAGCTAAACTTGCACCTAAAAAGTTGTATTTTTAAACAATTTCAATGTGCCTATAGCATATGTTGAAGTTGATGACGACAGATTTCCGCGGGCGTTTTTGAAATATCATTCGGATTGATTATTAATTTCCAGGTTCCGCAATATGAGTAGAGCGTGTCTAAACAGTTTTGTAATCGTTAGGGTAATTTATTGATCTTCATACAACAGTGAATTTATTTTTGTTCTATTTGGGAAAACAAAGAGACCAAAGAGATATTGCTTTTTCGAATATATACGGCAAGTTGTTTATATATAGGTTAAGTAACAGGCGGCTTAAAATACATCCTTGGCGCAGACCTTTTGAGTATGAGATCGAGTTTTGTTTTCTGGATTCTGATGGACCTGTGAAGTTGCTGTAGAGAACTCTTATTAGATTGCAGAAATGTCCTCTTATGTCCATTTTGAACAGTTTATGAAACGATCCCTCGTGCCAAACAGAACCAAAAGCTTTACGCGAATCTACGAAACAAGCATAGACGTTTTGCTTTTGGCGGGGGACTTAATTATCTGTTAGAGTCCTTATAGTGAAAGTATGGTCTGCAGTGCGGTTTTGAGGCATGAAGCCAATTTGGGAATTCTGTAACATTATTTTCGTTAACGAACAAGTATGGTATTTGATTTATGAAGTGGAGCAAAACAATTCGTCCAGCTAAGGGAACTAGATACGGAAATACTTTTTTAATTTCTTGGATAAGTCTTTTCACCTGTTATGTGGATTAGAGTTATAAGGAATTGAACCCGAGCATGTGGTAAATTTCCAGAAGTATAAGAGATTCAAGGCCTGCTTTGATCCTTTCATGCCTTATTTTGTCAACAAATGACGATTTCTAATTCTCCAATTTCTTAACCACTTGACGTATTTCTTGCTCAGTTATCTCACGTTAAGGTTTTTTTTAATGGTCGTAGTTCATTGTAAAATTGTTGTTGATGTATCAAAACTCTCGGGCCATTCTGATGTAAGGATTGAAAATGGTCGAGCCATTTTTTCTTTCAAGGTAGAGGAAGGAACATTTCCGTCCTTAGTATCGTTCATCGATTTTACGCAACTCCAAAACGATGCTTTGTGTGGATTTAATGTCAGTTGGTGGAGATAAATTACTTCCTTCTAAAATTATTTTCTTTTTGAGTCACGAAGATTTTTGTAATCATTCAAGGTTTTTGGAAATTTTTCCCCTAATTCAGACTTAAAGGATGACGATGTTTTACGTAATTCGTGCCTCAAATATTTCTGACATTCTGCTCCAGAGAGACTTTGAATCGAAATAACATTGACCTTTTCTGTCAACACCTATTTTCTTGAAAAAAATTCAAACAGGTCAAACAGCCGCGCAAGGAAAAGAAGGTGGTCTTTTTCGCCGCGTGAATCGTGAAAGTTTTTGTCGCTCGTGCCTCTCGTCTCACGGGAAGAAAAATTTCACGAAAAACCTCTTGAACCAGGATTCACAACGCAGAAGTTGCATATGTAAATGCAACGTATGCCAGGTTCATTATACTAAACGCACTGGTACAAAACGAAGAAATAAATGTACAGTTGAAAACATAAAGGGCCGTCGACATATTCACTTTTCCCCCGCTTAACGTCAACTGGACGTTTAGGTCAGACCCCCCCCCCCCCCCCCTCCTTAACGTCCACTTGAAATTTTGCTGCCCCAAAAATCACTGCATTTTAGTACGAATACTAACATCCACTTTTTACGTGAAGATGTCACCGATTTACTGTTTTAAATTTTTTTCAAGAAAAACCTCTAGGATCGGTGTAGTATCACCGGTATCTACATTTTACGCTGTTGGCAGTTTTCCTTTGTAAATAAATGCACTTTTTTGACTACAGTATTTTATTCCTCTCACAGGTAAAAATACATGTATGGCTTTTGCTGCCGGCTCCTTTACCACCAATGGTTATTCACCATGATAAACTTGTAAATGACCCAGTATCTTGTGAACTATAATGTACTTGTGCTTGTTATTGTTGAAAATTGTGTCATGAATTTAATATTTACAATGATTTGTATTTTCTTTTCAGTATTTCCAAAGAAGGCCAGTCTTTTATCTAACCCCTTAGCCAATTTGGCAACATACTCGTGGTTGGTTATTTTGATGTATTTGCTTGTGTTAGTTTGCTGAACCTGTTTCTCAACAACGTCAAAGTACTAGTCCAATCATAACAAAGCATGTCCACTAAAAAATCTGTTCATCTCAATAATTGTATAGTTTGTGTGATCATGATTGTTTATTTTGAACTTTAGTTTTTTATTGAAACCGCTAGCCTTGTGTTAGTTTTCAACTTAATCTCAGAAACCTGATTACTTGAGGTGACCAATGCAGTTTCAACCATGTTTATTGTTTATAGGATAGACACGTCCTGTGTAAACTTTTCTCCTCTCTCGGACAACACTCAAAAGTGGTTTACAAAAAAGAGGGAAAAGAGAATTCATTTTTCACACATTTTACCAACTGCAAGATCATGAGAAAGAATACATCATAAAATACTTTTTGAATGTTAGGTGAACAATGTTTCTTTCGATCAGAAACAAGCCATGACCAAGCTATAATTTATTGTTTTGAGCCCTGACTGTGTCTTCTTACTGCCCATAAAAGTACCCAGCTAGCTTTCGACGACACACTAGAGAAAGGCCTTTAGCTCTAAGAAAGTGGAGAAATCGAAAAAATAGCTAAAAACATGGCAAGAACAGCAACAAGACAACTTGAAGGGCGACATCTGCTATTTGGAGAATATTTGCGGGGCTGGACAAACCTAAACGTACACTATCGAAGATAACTGAACATCGATGGATCCGATGGAGGTAAGCATGTTTTAGCTATGTTTTTAAACTAGGAATTATTTTGAATGAATAATAAAACAGTTATTGAATTCGGCTTTCGTATCATATGAAGAATTATGGTGTTATCAGCCTCGGTCTACGGCCTCGACGGATAACACCCTCCTCGATCAGCATAATTCTTCGTAAGATACTCAGCCTCATTCACTAACTGTTAAATAATGCATGTCAAATGAAAGTAATAGAATATTATGCATGCTTACACAGAGTTTGGATAATTGCATGTCTGGATTTATTGAAGCCTATAATTGCCAGTTTTTCATGCCAATTGAGAAATGAGGAAACTGAAGCCGAAATGTGTCCCACAGTTGTTTCTTATTCTGGGGTTATTACTGGGGGCGGTTGGTCAGGTATTGGCCATTTTTCCCTGTCCCTAGTAAACAGTCTTTGTAAAAGTTCACTCGGCCCAGTTTGTGATTAATGGAAAATTTTTAGTGCTCCATGAAACATCATAATATTGTGATGCAATCAGACTCTGCCCTACTCAGACTGGAGGACAAAGCATTGGTTTTGCTACCGCTATTGTTTACTGCAAGTTGAACTAGAAGAAGTTATCACATTTATGTCCCCAACAAATTCTGAACCTACAGTGCACAAGGTTTGCCTTGAAAATTTGCATTTGGACAATACAGTGCATGTAGTGCTGGCATGCCAAGCTTTTGGTGTTTTTGTAAGTTTAGTTTTCCGTATTTCCTCATCTGTTGAAAATAAACAAATTGCCCAAGTATTAGTTGTCTTCTTAGAAAACCACTTGTTTGTCATAAGAGTGTCATGATTACCAGTATATACTTGTACTTCTGAGATAGAAAAACTACATATCTGTCCAAAAAATGAATACATGTACTTAAACAAAGAATACTTTAGCAACCAAGTTAATTCAGTGTTGTAAATGCAGTGTAATACCATTATTACAGAAATAAAAGTAAAGGAAGCAATACATGTACACTGTATGACTGCCAAAATCCATACATTTTTGGTACATTTTCTGCATTTCCTTTTAGCATTAAAATTAAAATCTCTCAATCTTACTGTTCGCAGGTTCACTAACGAATCTCCAAAGTAGATGTGTTTGAAGAGATCATTCTTCGACAGGGGATATCATCTGTCCACCTCAGCAAACAGGAGTGGAAAGTCATAAACAAAACCATTATGCGCATTCAGTACTGAAAAGAAATACAACAGTATTGTAAACGACTGTTCATGAAATAATCCCATTCCTATTTTACTATTGTAGTAGCTTGTCATCACTATTTTTATAACACTTCTTCTTCTTATATTTCAGAATTCTGATCTCAGCCATATAAATATTTATAAGATATATTAATAAAATGACATTATTTTTACATGGTTTTGGACTTTGTGTTTTTTTCGTATCTAGAATGGACTATTTTGATTTAATTTTGTATACAAGAGATGGACTGTCATTTCATTTAAGTAGTATGACTTTGTGTACCTGTGAAGTATTTTTTCTTGGTTCATGTGGAAATCTCATTTGTCAGATTTTTGATCCATGATATAAACCTTGGAAGTACTTCTGATAGTTTTGGTTGGTTTAAAAGGTTAGGCTGTTTTATTCTACATTTTTTCACAACTTAAAAACAAAAATATATTGCATGTAATGCTATTCAGTTTTGTTTTTACTGATCTTTAATCAGACAAAAACATTAAAAAATGGAAAAAGCATTATTTTACATTATTGATTACTTTCAACCTCTAACCTGGTGCTGCTGTGCTCTTAGAGGTGTTTATGAGAGACTGGAATGTTGATGGGATGTTAGTTTCTACATTGCCGGGCAGAGGCTGCAGAACAGCAGCAATCTCCACTATGTGGTCTTTATAGACTGATCCCCCAGTACCTTCACAATCATATAGGAAGTACAGTGGGAAAGGGCTGTCTGTCACTTCATCACTTGATTCATCGTCATCGCTGCTGTCTGTTAAATTGGAGATGTAGTTGTCTTGTTCAGATAACTCATCTTCTGAATTTTCACTGTCACCACTTTCTTCTGACTCAGAACCAGCTGTTACATAGTAGGATGTTGTCACTGAAACTGCCTTCAGTGACTTCATAAATTCCTTCTCTTTTTCATGTTTTTTCATCTTCTTTTTTTCCCTTTCATTTCTAAAAGAGAATATGGGATAAACCATTCTCTTTTGTAATACTACTCATTGTTTTGAATGAATTTTTTTGAACAATTTGTTGCCTTTTCACTGACCACAGACGTAAAATAGAGGTGCTAATCAGTGATACAGTCATTCACATTTTAGATGTCAATTTCTTAACTTTAAGTTTCATTGTAGTAAAATGCACTTTACCTAGCAGCAATCGTTATACATTTGTATTTGTATTTTTCCTGTCTTAATTATTAGTTGTAAAATATTTTTACAAACATTAGCAGTTCATAAATTAAAAATAGCATTATAAAAATGAACCTTTTCTTTTGGTAATCTTGTGAGCTTCTCATCTTGATCTCTCTGTCATATTGTTCCTGTCTCTTGATTATGCATTCAACTGACTTCTTTGGCATGGGAATTTGGAGTTGGAAAAGCAGAAGTACCCAGATAGGACCAATGTTCTACAGAAAAGTGTTGTCAATGTATATATGAATAACTATCACAGCAGCTTTAGCTGGATATTATATTTTATCTTTGTTTATAGCTTTAAATGTCGGACGTTAAATTGTTTTAAGTAGTGATTTTTTTTTTCAAATTGTGTTAGCTCTTTCAAATGAATTCTCTAGCATTGTTCTTTTCAATAAAGCTTGAAATTATCATTGATCAATTTTGTTTCAAGAGAATGATTATTGTGAAATAATTTTTTTAATTACACCATTTTATTATATACGTTAATGAGATCACCATATTATTGTTGATCACCTTGTGAGGTATTGACATGTTAGTCTTGCATTTATAATATACGGATCCCAGGTCAATCCTCTTGTTCTGGTACATTAAAGCAATCCCATGGTATCCGTCTGGGACGTTATTTGTTACTCTCCCATCAAGAGTGATGTACTCCTCAGGTCTGGTGGCCATTTATTCAAGAGATGCTTTAAACTCCCTCAGTTGTGATGGGCAGCTAAATGAATGTTTACGGCGGTAGGGCTTTCCATCTTCATCTGCCTGTACAATTACACAGGCACAATGTTTTGAGAATAAAGAACTATTAATGCCAATAATAATAGTTACTGTTGGCAGTGACCAAAACAAGTTATTATAAAGACACAAAAAGCTCTGACTGTACAGTTTTTAGTCGCCTGGTTTTATGTGTTATGTTTGCAATGATGCAACTAGCACCAAAATATTTTTTGTGTATTACTACTACCTTTTTGTGCAATCTGCACCATGTTGAAGTATGGTCATGTGTGTAGTGCTGATAATAATTTAGGTTGGCTTTGCCAAAGTCCCCCATGGGGTCCTCTGAGGAGTAGATCTCTTCGCACTTTGTTAGATTTTTCAGACACTTTTAAGCATTGGTTATCATTACATCTGTCATTCTTCTGCACTTCAGGGTAGGCCAAGGCTTTTGCACTGTGGATGTATCAAATGGTACACATGTAATGATTATAATTGAAATCGTTTTAGATTGAAAAAATCTTACAAGCAACCAAACTCAATTAGGAGAAAAATTCGGCAGTATGAAATGAAATTATTACGCCCATAGAAAATAAGCACATTACCAGCTCCTGACATTACCGGTAATTTACATGGCAATGATAGCAAACCCGAGATTTCGTTATTGATCTTTTTGACAGTTGCGTTTCCTCTGCGGTCCGCATAAATAATATAAAGTTAAACAGCGCCGAAAAAAGCAAATTTTGTCTTTTTTTTCTAGCAAGTACGCTTTTAGAAAAAAACTTTGCCGTTTCGTGATCAATGACTTTGTAAATACAAGTGAACTAAATTGGGAACTGCGCATTAAAGGCGGTTACGGACAAACGATACAAAGCTGTACACTCACCTGACAAGGCGTTTTCTTTACTCGTTCCAAGTCCGTATGGAATGTTTTCGCTGTGTGGTTACCACAAAACACTATCTCTGTCTCCGGGCTTCTTGTAAGAATAATCTCATGGCAAAAGGCGTCTTTATCAATTATCGCTTTCTTGATGGTCATACCTTCGTATCGTGCGCCATCAGATGTCCCCTCCCGGTTGACATCCTGTCCCCGTTTAGTGCGATGTGCATAGCTGATGATGTTACCGGTCTTAGCGTCATGCATGGTGGCACAAGAATTGTTGGAGTAGTGGCCTCTTGTCAAGTAGAAGCCGTCGAACATGACCTCGAGCTTGTCTTGATCTCCGCGCGCTTTTATCGCTTTCCTCTACTGCTGGACACTCCAATCGGCTATTTTTTGTACTTCCGGAGCAATCCACTCAATTACTCGGATCCACTGCTTTTTGCTAAAGTGGCTTTTTCCTAGGGTTCCCATCAAGTGGTCATGATCTTTATAGTACAATCCACAGGTGATGAACGCGAGGAGGACATAATTGGTCAGATAGCACTTTGGTTTCGTACGAGCAAGAATAGTCTCGCTGTTGCTAGATACACTGAACAGTTTCTTACATTCGGAAAAAATAAATTCCAACTTTAGTATTCCTGTCTGTGGCTGCGTTTCTTTCTTAAAAGCGAACTACCCCGACTTTCCACATCCAGTGCATTTGCTTTCTGAAACAGCATCTCGCATAACTTCAGAAGTCGAAATCAAAAACGACAATGGCTTGATAGAGAGATTCTTACTCGTTAGCTCATCACGTTTGTGACTTTTGCTTGCAAACACACTCTCTACTTTATGAATTGGTCCGTTTTCAGTAACCTTTTCGGCAAGGCTGCCACATTTTGTATCTTCTTGCACTTCAGAGCTGGTAAAATCGACACAGAAGTCAAGTAATTTGTCGGCATGAAGAGCGAGTTCGCCGTCTTGTTTTACACCACTTACTTCGGACGAGGGAGCAGGTAAAACTGAGTCAGTCTGCGTGGCAATAGTTTGGACATGAGCGGGTTGCTTGAAACCAATTTCAACCTGGCAAGCAAAATCCTTTTTCGACGGAATGGACCAGCGCGCCTTAGAAATTTCCAAGCAATGTCTTTTCCTCTTTAGTGCCTTTCGGCCCGTCATGTTTTCATGTTGTTTTTTTTGTTGTTTCCGTTTTGTTTTGGTCTTTTTTCACCTTTGCCAGTTTGTTTTGTTTTTCTTTTCCTTTCATTTACTTTTCCATATTGTCAAACCCGGGGTGACATGGTTCATTTAAAAGTAGCAATTTTGCAAAATGTTTTCAAATTTGCCGGGCTCGCGCACTTATGATTTGCTGCACGTGGCGTTGGCTAAAAATAATGACACTATTGACTGGAAGTGAAATTGCACGTCCTTAGCAACGCGCGAGATCACGCCAAAGACAGGTCCCTGGGCCTTTAAATACTGGAATGATTGTCCTACTTGTGTACACAGTTAAAGTGCTCGCCACAAGTAGACTGAAAATGGACGTTTCTCTTTAACTCGAAAAGTTCAACTCTGATTATCACTCCCGTAGCATTATTTTGTTGGTTCCAAAAATTAGTTATGCTTAAGAAAGAACGAAGGCTTGTTTTTAAACTGGTTACAGTTAACCTGTCAAAGCTCAGCTAGTTTGGGAGAACCGTCGAGAATTAAGATAGTCCTCCGTAACCTTTGTTTGCAATTCTTAGGCCAGTTGACCAATGTTTTTGTCAGACAAAATAAGACTTACCGTTATTCATCCTGGGTCTGAACAATTGTTACACTGATATTACTGCTGAAAACTACGGAGCCCAGTAAGTGCCATTCAAATTTTGCGCTCAATTTTTTGTCTCGACTTTTTGCTCGCCTTTAAGTTTTTTTCTCGACTTTTTTCTCGACTTTTTTCTCGAATTTTCCCCCTGACATTTAAGCGCAAACAAAATGGCCGCAAGAATTTTTCGTTATACGATGTTGCTGTCTATAGTAATTCCCTCTACATGTGTTCTGCCAGGCTAGAACATGCAGAACGTGACGACATAATGGATCACTTCTTTCATCTAGGTCTGGGTTACAGCGAGATCTTGATGTGTTTGTTTCTTTTGCACGGCATTTGCTTAAGTATTCGTCAACTAAAGCGAATACTGAGATGTCGTGGTCTTGGAAGAAGAGCTAATAGGACTGATCCACGGCAGGTTTGCGAAGCTATCGAGGAGGAACTACGAGGCAGTGGTAGCACTATTGGGTATAGGCAAATGACTCAGAGGCTAGTAGTTGATCACGGACTAGTTGTTGGCAAAGAGACAGTTAGAGAATTGATGAAGATATTAGATCCTTATGGTGTGTCCGCAAGATCAAGTCGGAGACTCCGGAGAAGGCAGTACAGCACAAAAGGTCCTAATCACATATGGCATATTGACGGACATGACAAGTTGAAACCGTTTGGTTTTTGTGTACACGGTGCAATTGACGGCTATAGCAGAAGAATCATGTGGTTAGAAGTTGGTCCTTCTAACAATGATCCCTCTGTCATAGCCCAATATTTTGTGGACACTATCAGGCAAATCGGTGGAACTGCCAAGATAATACGTGGTGATGGGGGAACAGAGAATGTTTATGTCGCTGCTGTACAGCGCTTCTTTAGACGTGATGGGGACGACAGTTGGGCTGGAGATAAAAGTTTCTTATATGGAAAATCCGTTGCTAATCAGCGTATAGAGGCTTGGTGGGGTATTCTAAGAAGAGGCTGCTCGGACTGGTGGATCCGCTTTTTCAAAGATATGAGGGACTCCGGTCTTTACTGCGCAAACGATGCAGTACAGGCTGAATGTCTTAAGTTTTGCTTCATGCCTCTTATTCGCAAAGAGCTTTATAAAGTGGCTGTATTGTGGAACTTACATAAGATAAGGCCAACGAACAATGCTGAGTCTCCAAGTGGTCGACCAGACATGCTTTATTTTGTGCCAGACGTCACTGGAGGAGCAGACCTTAAACAAGATCTGGACATTGATGATATTGAACTTGCGGAGCAAAGATGTTGCTATAGGTATGCAGAAAGTGGCTGTTGTGTCGAGTTTACTCAGTTAGCATCAATTATAATGCAGGAACAAAACCTTGATATGCCTGAGACAGCCGAAGATGCAGTCACTTTGTACTCTACCTTACTTCAGAGCATTGATGATTTAGTATAATAGCATGTTGCCAGTCTCTCGTATGACGTAGATGATGTAAGGAAGAGGAGGGGGGGCAAACGTTAATCGCAAACTCGCCAGGAGAAATGTATAAAACCAGCAATACAGCATCTTGACTTAATAAAAGTTCGAAACACTAGATTTACAAAGTGCTAGGTCTTGTAAAACTCTAATAACACAGGATGGCACCAACTATATAGTGATTTTAGCTTTACGATGACGGCGAAAGACAATTTGTCACTTGCGACCAAATTTTCATTTTACCTGTCGTTTGTAGCGTATATAATATCTACACAAAGGTAGAGTGATCAAACAAAAAATTTGTAGGCCCGGGCCTACAGGTTTATTGGCTGGCTACGCCCCTGTTAGTTGTTTACTAACTTGCTCGGTCATTAAAGGAAAGTAAGCATACAGGGGGGGTGGGCGGAGGGGGCTGTAATATTGTTCCAGGCGTTCGGCATGGGTTACTGCAATTTCCAATTTCAAGCAGTTAAAAAAAGGGCCATGTTATCAAAGCAGAAAATGACTTAGCTTTAGCGAATAACTTTTTATTAGAGAGCTTTCATGTTGAACTCGCCAGGGTCCTTGCCAGAACAAGGATGTTAGACAAGTTTCCTTTGTTTATGTTCAGATTGTCGTGGGTTCCCTGAGCTGGCAGAATTCTGGACAAAGAGACAGACAGGTTAGGTTTGAATAGTTAGTGAGCTACTCACCTTTAGAAGCAGCCAAGCAAGCCATGGTGTCTGTCCAGACACGGGCAGCTTAGTTAACAGAGATTGGCCGATTACTGTAGAAGCGATCTTTGTTTGATAGCTTCATGTAATTTGTAATAAACGTTTGATTTGTTAATTCTCAAGAAGAACCTCACTATTTCAATGCCCGGTATTTCATCGAACGCCTTTCTTTCAAAATGAAATCGCTTAAGGCAAGGTCACTTCAGTTCTACCTGTTTCGGCCAACCCAGTAAATAATGAACTGTGACCTTTTTTCCGTTTGTTCCAGTGATGTGGGGCATGTACCCCAGTCTGCAATATGAAACTATTGAGCAAAACCTATAGTAGTGATAGACGGCACTGGGGCGCTCAAAGGATGCCGCCGCCGCTATTGTTTTAAGGCTATTGTTCTAAGTTGTCAATCAAATTAAAAATTCAAGATGGCGCTCGGAGAGGACTTGGAACTTAGTTACTTATGAATATGTAAAGGTGAACTTATATATGTGGATGACAGTCACGACTTACAATTGTGGGACAGAATTTCTGTCCCCTGCACAGTACGCATGCGCAGTACTGAATCTTGTGTAAAAACGTTCTAAAACGTTTTCTAAGTGTTCTCATTTTTTTTAAGTTTATAAGTAAAGAAAAATGTCTTTCCCAACCTTGCTATCATCACAAGATTAAGAAAGAACGAGCTGACCGGGAATCGAACCCGGGTCACCTGCGTGACAAGCAGGGATACTAAACCACTGTACTATCAGCCCCTTTCCGAGTTGATTTACTACACAACAAAGTAGTCAGTTGAACAATGTTTATTATTTTAACAATAAGGTTTAACAATAGTGTGATTTTATTGCTACAGAATATGTTTCCGAAGGGAAAATACAACACAAGCATTTCACGAAACGCTTGACAGCTGAAGAATAGAATTACCTTTTGTCGTCACAAGAAATATTGTGGGACTAATATCAGAGTCCCATGTCTACATTGCGACAAGACGTTTTCGAGGAAGGACAAAATGACTGCCCAGCATGTAAAAGAAACACAGCGAATGATGAAGAGAAACAGGAGTACTTTGTTGGTGTTGAAAAGAAAAAACCAGAGTGACACTTAATAAGCCTATCTACACAGGCTTTACTGTCTTGGAGTTATCTAAACTTCACATGTATAACTTTCATTATAATCACATAATGAAAAAGTATGGTCCAAAGAAAGCGAAGCTAAAAACCTTTAACTAATAAAATAGATAAAAATTTAAATGGGTTACGAAGTTCCTTGACATCCTTGTCTTCTTGTTTTGGTAGATTTAAACTTCGTTTAAAAGTCTCTTGCAATTCTAAAAGAGCCTCAGGGTAATCGTAAATGTTTCTCACTCCAATGATGGCAGTTTTCTTCACTAGTGTGGGTAAAGCGTACTGTCCTTCTGACATCTGATCACATGCGGTAAACAAATCTTGGTGAGAATTATACCATAGCCACATGTTTCGCTCCACATCTTACACATACAAAACTTTGTTGAGGACTTTACTCATTTCTACTGCCCAGCTTGTTCCGCCCGTGCAAACTTTTCTTTGGGGTTGAAAACAAGTAAATGCCAGCACCATGTCTGCTTGTTTCACCACATCATAATTTCGGTGGATATACTGTAAACTGATCGGGTTGGTTAACTGTTTGTTGAGACGATTAGCCACTTGCGTTGTGAGAGGAATCACTTGAGCTAATTGTTGATGAGTTAAGGGTAGTATGGAGGCTTTTCTCGGATGGCAAGGAGGTATGAGGACCTCTACTGGTAAACCATAGTATCTTGCTAACTTTTCTGCTTCTAAATCCACACCACTGGCGCCACCAGAGATGACAGTGAAAGCCATCGTAGTATGGGTTGATGAGTAGAATCAACGTGAGTTTTATAGAAGACCATTGACGTCATTGCCCGGACATGTTCAAATCCCAAAGGTCTTGATCTTTGGTGGCGCATGCATCTCGTAGTAAGAAAGAGCGTTTCCAACAATGTTATCCGTGACATACTGGTTCAAGTCCAATAAATAACGGTTCATTGTTTCCATAGTAAGATTCTCATAACAGATGCCTTGTATAATCACTTCATGCATAAACGTTTTGTATCCCTGTAGTAGTGAAGGATCCATATGCTGTAAAATGTCGTTTAAACTGCTTGATGGCTCCATAGTGATTGTTTTTATTCTGAGGATCCATCCGATATTATATCAGGTCGTTTGTTTGCCAAGAACTTGTAAAAGGCTGTGGTTTCTTTGTTCACTTGATGAAATATTTCACGGTTCAGCTCATACAAGTTGTAATTCAATTGATCAAAGTTCATGTCGGTGTTGGCTAATGCATCAATCATCAAGGCTCGTATAAATTCTTTGTAGGAAGCAAATTTACACGGCTGTACTTTTTTAACAGCTGTTCCATTTTAGTAGACGGTGTCATAGCCCCCATGTCTTTCGGTGAGATCTTGTATCAGCTGTTCTTGTTTTTGAACCAAAGTTTTCAGTCTAGCCACTTCTTGGATTATCTCAAACTTTTCCTTAAGCTGTTTGAACTGTTGCAACAACTGAGCGCAATAAGCTAGTGATTTACTAGCGATGTTGATCCACTCGAGTTCACACATAATGAATGAACTGTGTCACCCGTGCATGCTTATATGAGCTCGTCATGGTCCACTGATTCTTCCAACTTAATGTATTTGCGTTGAGTCTCTGTTTGCTTTTTCTTGAACAGTAAAGAGACAATGACTGGACGATCCTGATTGAAGTCGGGAATAATGTTATTCCATTCTGTCACAGTCAGTTCTAAAATCTCCACCAAATAACTCCTCATGGAATACAATCATTCAGTCAGCGTTTTTTCGTTATTATAAGCGACAGACTGCATGATGGTTCTGTTTCCATCAATGCTTTTGGTTAAATTGCAAGACAAAAACAGAGGGCGTAAATTGTCTGTTCCATGAGATTTAGGAAGTGTGGAAGCTTTCTTGTCCCCCGTACTAGTAGTCGTTGTTTCGGTGGTTGTGTGAGAAGAGGGAATGATCAGGTGATCATCATACACATCTGGTACCTGTTCTACATGACCATCCACACCATACAGCACCAAAAAAGTGTAGTCTTTTAATTCACCTGAATATTTCGCTGACAGTGGAAACCCTATTTCAAACTTGATGCTTAATGTTGCATTGCTACTTGAAGTTTTAGTGAATTGAATAGTCAATGTGTGGTAATAAATCAAATGGCTTTTCTTTTGCTCATGAGTATGTTTTTCAGCCCGCAAATGATGAACTTGGAAACCCGTTCCTTCCGCTGAAAATTTAGAACGGTTAAACAGCCACTCATCCTTTTGGTACCACTCTAATGCCACCGTATAAGTTTTGTTGCGAGTTAAGGAGCTCATATCAATTCCCAGTTCCCCAGCGTAATCTCCGTGAGATGCACCATCCACAATTTTTACTCCTCTTAACAAAGTCACACTCAGAGTCCTGGGTCTCCAATAATGGGGAGATACAGGCAGATCTACAAACTTATCGTTCAAGGCGAGTCCAAGATCCATATTCCATAATGTAAGGTTAGTCATCCAGGGTTTGAACACATTGAAAACTGTTTTTGGGGTTTCATAGGGTCGATGAATCGCTCTGTCAAAGGCTTCATTTAAATTCACAAAGCGCCAACTAAACGTGGAGCAAAGATACTGCAATCCGTCTACTACATGAATGGGTTGAGGAAAAGTAAATTTTGCATTGAGACAGGTCGCGGGATCTGGTTTTACACTAGTAGTACCGTATGGAAGCTCCATGAGTAAATTCGATCCCACTGCAAACACATTGGTAGTTGTTTCTACAACCCAACCCATTTGTTTAGCCAAGATCAAATTAATGGCTAAATAAGGCACACTTTTTCTGTTGGTACTTTCAACATTGTAATGCCGAAGCAACCAACTCGTGCAATTATCTTGAGCAGAAACATCTATTCTCCAATTATCATTACTATCTGCAAATTCATACCCCGTGGGTAATTTTTTGCTTAAATCCTGCTCCATCCACCAAAAAACTTTGGACATAAAATCAAATCCATTGGAGGCATCTTGCAAATCTGCTGTTTTAAGTTGTGACAAAAATTCTTGAGGTTGACTAGATTTGAAAGCTTTGGCATATTGTTGAAATAAAATATCAGTATCGCTCCCTTTGTACAGGTTGTGAATCGAGCGAATACCGAAAGGTTTGGTAGGATTTGTGTCATGATGTTTCGTCAGAGAGGAACTGACATGGGATGTGACAACATGGGGAATGGGATTGGAAACGCCAGGTAAAAACACACTTGCCAAACCCACTTTCCATTTGCCCGGTAACCATAAGCTTTGAGGCAAACGGTATTGAAATTGTGAGGCTAAATTGTCTGGAAATTCCTGTGTTTTTTGACTAGTCAGCGTCACATAAAACGAGTTGTCATTTGGCTGAGTCATGTTGTTAAATAATGAAATGAGGTAATTTATCTCTTTTATAGTCTGCCCCAACATGCTCAAGTCCCAAAAGTGTGATTAGTGCGAGTTCGTGACAGGAGTGACGGTATTTTAAGTAAGTATAAATTTGTGTTTGATGTGATTTTGCTGTATGTGTTATCTGCAAGAACCGAAGTTTGACATGGATAACTCTGTTCCTCCCAAGAAAGAAAAGAAATCCAGAAAAGCCAAAAATAAGACGGGAGAAGAAGTGGTTCAATCAGTTCTGAAAACTCCAGAACCTCAAATGATTGAGAATGCAGAACCTTACAAAATAATGGACAGCACCCCATTACACTACAGACGATAAATTTAGGTTGCAGAAATACCTGGACCCAGAACCTCAAATGATTGTCAACGAACAACTTCCTTCCTATGAGGAAATGCAGCAGGCCTGCCGAGATCTGTTCAATGGTCCGAGTTCTATGGAAACACAGCCTGACCTAGATCCCGTGCATATCATGGAAGAAGGAGTCGCTGTGTTACCAGATGGTCGACAAGTGGAATGGTGGCCTATAGAAGGGGAATTCGATGTACCTAATTTAGATGAAGTTTCTTTGCAAGAATATCTGTTGGATGCGAGCAAGCTTTTGCATACCAACTTTGTCCTGCCTCAAAAAGGCCTTGCCATTTGTTATACATGTCCCGTGTATTTTGGCAATGCAGACAGCAAGGAGACAGTGTTGGATACCATTTGTAACAGCATTCATCCCAAAATCTACGAGCAATGGGGAACCTTTAGCTGTCATTGTGGATTAGTGCCTAGACTCAAGCTGAGTCAAACACCAAGAAATCCAAACAAAGTGTTCCTAAGCTGTCCTAAGACCAGAAAAGCCAGGTGTAATTACTTTCAGTGGATTCACCAAGCACCTAAACCTGTGAAGGTCCCTAAAGCTTTTACACCCTCAGCTCTCAAGAAACGAATGCATGAGATGGTACAAGAAAGATTACAGAAACGACCAAAAGTAGAGGCAGGAGGATTTAAATTTCCCTAAAAACACTTTGTTCTTGTTGTTGTAAAAAGTTTGTTGTTTAAAATTAAACAATGTGATCTCAGTCGAGCGTGTGTTTATTTGTCTAATACCCTTGAGGATTCTTGCCCGATCTTGCCCAATACCCTAGGGACCTTAGGAGTCTTATAAAATTGGGGCAAACTCTGCTACCATGGCTTGTGAAATGAGTAGAGAAGAAGATCTTGAAATGATGAACGTAGATTTTGTCGGTCCTGACGGTCCTTTAAACACTCAATTTTTGCTTTCTATTTTTGACGAAAAGAAACTCTGCCCAAGATTTTATGGAAAAGAATTGGACAAACTGAAAGTGTATGATGCCTTAAAGAAAGACATGCATGCAGAAGTAAAATCAAATGGGGAGAATTGAAATGTCATTGCTCACGAATTCCTATCCTTCGTCTTAGTAAGACCGCCAGAAACCTGAACAAAGTCTTTTTAACCTGTGGAACACCCGCTTTAGCTGAGACTCGCTGCAAATATTTTCAGTGGATTCACACACCACTGTTTATCGATAAGAGACCCATCCATAAACTCAAGTATGCGACAAACCTGAGCAGAGCAGAATGGAAGCAACAAGCGGAAGCGAATGTTGAACCGTGGAAACAGCGCAATGGTTGGTACAGCAAACAAGATGCCGAAACTCAAACAGAGCAGAAACAACAACCTTCATGGATTGCCGAAGCAGCCAAAAAGTTTGCTGAATCAGCCAAAAAGCAAGGAGAACAAAGAAAACTGCAAACAAAAAATCCTTGGAGGAGCAACCCTCTGCCAAACACCTTTGAGTCAAGTCCCGAGATAGAGAAGGAACTGAAAAAACAAAAGCAGTGGAAGGAGGTTGTTAGTATTGCTAACCATCGGTTTAATTCTCGTGTGAAAGGATGGTCTCATCTCCCTCCCGCTGATGCAAATGTAGCTGAGTATCTAACAAAACAAAAAAGCAAAGGTCATTCTCTCTCACCTGCGGATGAAAAGTTCTTAAATGCCTGCATAGCAAGCAAACAGGATGAGTGGAAACCTCCCCCCGGAGCTGAAAAGTATGAAAAGAACGAAGTAGCCATCGCCAAAGCGGTGTATGAAGACTGGTCTTTTGGTTATTTGCCTGAAAAAGTCTGCAGTTTGATTGATTCTATTGTCGCAACAAAAAGCAGAAGGGATTGTCTTTAACACCCGTGGAGGAACGTTTTTTTGCTCAATTAGTGAATGTATGTATCCCGGAAGAAACAGACAAGGAAAAACAAGAAAGAGAAAAGAGATTTTTTCAAGAATGTGATGCAAACAATGCTGAGAGAAGAAAATGTGGATTGCCTCCTTATTCCTATGAAACCTTTATAACCTTTGGTACTGGTATTTTTTGAGTTTCTCTTTAAAAAATGTGTAGCATAAAAACAAGCAATTTTTAAATAAAAGTGTTGAAAGAAATGTTATGTGGTTGTTTTCTGGTTAGGGTTAAACCCTAGCCTCTTGGGATTAGGGTTAGGGTTAGGGTTAGAGTTAGGGTTAGGGTTAGGGTTAAACCCTAGCCCCTTGCGATTAGGGTTAGGGTTAAAATGTTAATTAGCTTAGGGTTAAATCCTTGCCCTTGAGAATTAAACATGTTCAAACAGGGGGAATGAAATGTGTTCTAAAAATAGAATATAAAGACGTATAAAAATCGATCATTTGTTTTGAAAAGTATTCATTCAGTCATGGGAAACCTTCAGTATAGAAGTACGGTGTGGATTTGTCGTCGCTTGTTAAACGACCTATGCTCTGAAGACACTTGTCCTCCTATCCCAATGTTTCAATGGATGATAAATCATAACCATACAACCTGGGGACATTATGCAGTGTACATCACTTGGCTGCATCGACACCATCCATCCGAAGGAATCAAGGTGTTTGACTATTTAAAGAAACATCATGCCAACAACATGTATTCATTTTGGTATTTAGCAAGTCGCCCTTTAGTGTACTATGTCAACGAAATTATCCGCTTCGTATGTCGATCCTACCGAGCCTGGATCATTGGGAGGTGTTGCCAAATTTGCCAAAGCACACAAGATTCCCGTGTCCAAAGCCAAGAAGGAACTGCAACAAGTACTGAGTTACACTCTGCATAAACCAAGACGTCGGCGGTTTAAAATATTACCCACCCTGGTGTTTAACATCAACGAACAATTTGTGATGGACTTGGTAGACATGCAAAAACCAGCCAAATACAGCAAAGGGTACAAATATTTACTGACGGTGATTGATGTGCTCTCAAAATTTGCCTGGGTAGAGCCGTTAAAGAGTAAAAGCGCAACAGCGATGGTAGAAGCCTTACAAAGACTATGGGCAAGATTAGGAGATCGTTTACCTCAAAAAGTACAGACGGATTCTGGCGGTGAATTTTATAATGTTAAAGTGCAATCCTTTTTTAAAAAACAGGGTGTGAATCATTTTTCTACGCATGGAGATCCTCACGGTTCCGTAGTGGAACGTTGGAATCGAACTTTGAAAACGAACATGTTTCGCTATTTTACTGCGCATAATACGCTCAAGTATATTGATGTGTTGCCTGCTTTAGTGAAACCAGATAATCATTCCTATCATCGTAGTATTCAAGAAAAACCTGTCAATCTCAACGAGTCCAACGAAACGGAAATTTGGTATCGTTTATATGATACGCAAAAAGACAACAAAGTGAAAAAAACCGCAATGTCAAGTAGGTGATAAAGTAAGACTCAATAAACAATTTCGTCCTTTTAAAAAAGGGTATTTGCCTGGGTGGACCGAAGAAGTGTTTTTAGTGAAACAAATCTATATGACAAAACCAGTGGTAACGTATAAACTCACGGAATGGGACGGGTCTCCTATAAAAGGAACGTTTTATGAACCAGATCTGCAAAAGGTCAATGTCGCAGACGATTAATTATTTCGTATTGATCAAGTTTTAAAACGCAAAGGAAAACAAGTCTTTGTGTCTTGGAAGGGTTGGCCGAAAAAATGTAACTCTTGGGTGTGGAAAAAAGATTTGCAAGTGTTATGAAGAGTTTTCGATGAACCTTGATCAGCGATCTCACAGACGAACATCCCCAAAACCAAAATAATAATTTTAAAGTGCGTTTACCGGTGCGACTCAATTTAGAAGGCAATACCTGGCAATCCAATTGGTGGAGTGTCTCGGTCCCTGATGTAGGACATAGTTCTGCGGTCATTCACAGTAATAGTGACACCAAGATACTCAACTATCGCTACACCTTGACCAAGCGTCATGCTGTGGCCAGTGTTTGGTTTATTAACTTTGAGCGCAAAGACAAAACTGTGACTTTGAAAGATGTCATGGGTAGTTCGTATCCTGTCTTTTCAGGTCATCAATTATGGCAGAATATTATGACCCATATGGAACAAACCATCATGGAAGATGTAAAGTCAACCTTCGACACTTGGAAAACAACCAAAGGTAATACAGGCACTGTTTCCCTGAAATCTACTTGGAAACCCACCTTTCAATGGAACGAAAACACCCTCGTGTTGAAAAAAGTATCCCATGAAGATGCGTTTGCTCGTGACAGACAGCTAAAAATTCACCTCCTTTCCTCTGTAGGGATACATGTGGATTTTGCGGAAAAGTTTGGTTTATTGTTCAAAGACAAAAACAACCAATACCAATTAGGACCCAATTTAGACTTTGTCTTACCCACAACCACTTATACGACATCCACTCCACCCGTCAAAAGCAATGATAAGTATCAATGGCTAGGAGAGCATTTTGTGAGCATTAGTCCATCAGATTTATTAGGAGGAAACTCGTTATTCAAAGTCAAACAAGAGAATGGTCAATCGTATCTGTATCTCACGCGTACTGTGGATTGGCATTTTCAAAATCTGAATGTCCTGTTTAATACGCATGTGGGAACCGTAAAACAAACGGTCATGATTTATTGCGATGCTGCAGAATCCACTATTGTAGGATCACAACGACATTCGCTGTTAAGAAAAGTGGAATTAGAAAGAAAAGGAGAAGGGAGAGCGACCATAGAACCTTACCATCGTGAATGGATTCGAGTTCGAAATCAACACATTGAAAGCATTGAAGTGTCGTTGGCTACACCCGGTGGTTCCTTGTTGGTCTTATCCCCAGGCAAAACCATCATCACCCTTGGTTTTCAACAAGTATAAAAGAGCCCGTGTATTATGGAAACATCACAACTAAAACAAACAACATGTTAGGAGGATCGCTGACGCGTTATCATACCCCCACCATGCATGGGAGTGGTTTTATGCAAGAATTGGTAAAATTAGCTGGACCAAGTGTAGTGGGTTCGATTGGGCACGGAGTACATGCTTATGAAAAAGGTGCGTCAGCCTCCGAAGCCTTAAAAGGTTCAGGAGAAGGCTTAAAAAGAGGACTAAAACGTAAAATACCGGCGGTTATTGGTCTTGCGGTTAAAACCAAAGCCAAACAAACCTATAAAAAGAAACGACAACGTGTTAAAGACATTTTAGGTGTGTAAAACATGCGGCGAGGACAAAAATCACAATCTCACATAAGCCATCAACGATCAGTGGGTTGTTACCATTCTCCCTATCAACGCGGAGGCACTAATTTTAGACAACCTACCAACCCATGGGGATCCACTACCTATAAACCATTAGATCCAATGATTCTTCGTTCTTTAAGAAAACAAAAAGGAGGGAAAGTACATCCAGTCATCTACCCTTGGAAAAACAAAGGACGGAAACGTATAAGTAGACGACGCAGACGACGTTGAGCTATCAGTTCATCAACATGTCACTGAATCTGTTTGACATTCCCAACATTGAGTATAGGTATGAAGCCAAACGGTGGATTCCTTTCAAACCAGCTAATACTGGAACACGTCCTATTCTTTTTACTGTACCGGCAGGGGATGATTATTATGATTTGAAGGAAACCAAGCTAGAAATCAAAGTGTGTATGAACACCACAGGGACAGGAGGACTTTCCAATGATGAAACAGGGGCTTCGGATGGTAATGATACCAAATATGTCTATTGCGTCAACAATTTTGGTCATTCTCTCTTTAATCAAATGAATGTGTCTTTCAATGGAGTGTTGATGACAGAACAAAGCAATGCCTATCACCAGAAAGCTTACCTAGAAACCTTACAGAATTTTAATCGCCAAGAAGGAGAAACGACCTTGACAGCTCAAGGATGGGTGAATGAACTCAATGTCCTTGAAGAATTAACCCCTACCAATGCAGGCACTAATGATAAACCCAACCCCAATGACTGGAGTGGAAAAACAGGCTTGAAAGCACTCACCAGTCGCTTACTCGGCAAAGCGTATCATACCTTTATCATCAAACCCCACGTCGCGGTGTTCAAAACAGGCAAATGTTTGGTTCCTAACGTGCAGATTGATTTGGAATTGTATTTGAATGACAGCAACATGTTTCTGTTTGGTACCCCAGACACGACTACGACTGTCAACAAAAAGATTCCAACACTGGGAGACAATGATTTGTTTGTCACTCTGTGGATGAAAAAAGTCACTCTCAATGCCTCTGTGTATTCCAGGCTACAAAAAGAAAGAAGTTTGAGTAAAACCAAAAAAGTCCGCTACTGCTGTAGTTCGAAGTGAAATCCGAACGTATTCGTTTGATGGAAACAGCACTCGTTGGTCTCAGGACAATGTCTTCTTGAACAAGGTTCCTGTCAAAGTCATTATCGGACTCATGAATTCCACTAATTACAATGGAAGTCTGAAGTATTACCCTTATGCCTATGAAAAGTTTGGCGTCACCAGAGTTCGACAACGAATTGACGGAGAAGAATACCCTTACAGAGCCTTGGAACTAACAGGCAATTCCAAAGCAGAAGATTTAGTAGGCTATGATCGCTTCCTCACAGCGTCAGGCGCTTACAAGCACCACAGGGTACCCATGCTGCTCCCAAGCGACTGGGGACAAGGCAACAATTGTACCTTGTTCATGTTTAACAATGCTCCTGGGGATGCGGATGATCCTAGCTACAGAAATCCTAAACTCACAGGGAATGTCAGTTATGAAATTGACTTCAGAGCCAATGTTGGTCACAATGTGACCGTGGTCATTTGGAGTGAGTATGAAAATGTCTATGAAATAGACCAGTGGGGAGGCTTTCTTTATTCCATTAACAGCTAGGTTGGAGTTTGTACCTCTCAGTGATACAGTCCTCCGTTACTTGGCAAAAGACGATCGCGAATTACGACCCTATTTTCGTGGTGTGTTTCCAGCAGACCAAGTACCTTTGGTGTTTAAAAAACGAGTGAATGCTTTTATTGTCAACACTGATCCCACAAGTCAGCCGGGTGAACATTAGTTAGCCCTTTGGACCGAAGGAACTACATGTGAAGTCTTTGACAGTTATGGGTTACCTCTTTCTACCTACAAAAATCCTACCTTACAAGCTTGGTTGAGCCAGTGGAAAGAAATCATTAGCAGTGATCAGCCTTTACAAGCCATGGATAGTTTTACGTGTGGGCATTATGCCCTTTTCTTTTTAAAAGCAAAGGGAAGACATGCCTCTTTTCAAGATTTTTTAGCCCAGTGGCATTCTAATAATTTAGTGTTAAATGATAAGCGAGTCGCAGACCAACTGCAACGTCTTATTAAAACAGAGCTAACCGAGTATGAGCAATCTAATGTAAACCGTTCTTCTTTTTTCATTCATGAATAAAATTGTGTGTGTTACTTTTGACTGTGTCATTTTTATCATGATATTACGGGGGGATGTTCAAAAAGAGCTCCATGCACTGTTAGAAAAAGAGTGGTCTTATTGGAAAGATCACAAACAAGAATGGATCAAACTCTGTCTGGATCCAGCAGAACTGTGGGATGGGTATCATTGGCAATTTGTACGATGTTTAGTGCAAGCTCAGTTGTGGTGGGACTTAAAAAATCATATAAAAGGAATAGGTGAAACCCATTTGAAAGATCAGATACTTCTACTCATTCAGTTGAACTTACCGCGATTGTATCAACAACTATGGCCCGAAAGCGAAAACGAGTAAAAAAACGAAAAAGTCAAAAAGGGGGTGCACAATTTAGGTGAAAACCCCGTTTGGTAGATAAAATAGCCGAGGGAGTTGCCATGGGGCTGTCTGGTCCTTCTCCTAATTTTATCAAATTAGGGGCCTTTTTAGGGAAACAAGCGTTGAAAGGTATAAAAGATAACGTCCGTCATTATGAAATAGGCAAAAGACTCGGCACAGTCTTATCCACTGCAGCCAAAATTGGGTATAAATTGGGCAAGGACAAACGCTATAAACGTATGGGTGCAGTAGGAGCAACAGGACATTACACTCATTTTCGTAAGCCGTGGGAAACATGATTCGACAACCTGCTAGCGTGATTGTAGCGGGGCCCTCAGGTAGTGGGAAAAGTGAATTAGTGGAAAAATTACTCAAAGAAAAAACATTGTTTGACCCTCCTCCGAAAAAAATAGTGTATTGTTATGACCGATGGCAGCCCCGATTTGATCGCATGAAAAAACATATTATGTTTTTCAAAGGACTACCTCCTGAAGGGGCTCTCGTAAAATGGTTTAAACCAGAGCATCATGGCATACTCATTTTGGATGATTTAATGGAAGAATCAGGGAGTGATAAACGGGTGTTGGATTTATTTACAAAAGATTCTCACCATCGAGGCATTACCGCTCTTTATATTACACAAGATCTCTTTCCCCCAGGCAAGTTTGCGAAAACGATTAACCACAATGCACACTATGTGATTTGTTTTAAATCACCCAGGGATAAGACAGGTATTCGACATTTACTGCTTCAAGTGTACCCTGAAAAATGGCGTCAAGTACTCAAATTGTTTTTAAAGCTGACCTCCCGTCCTTTTGGGTATTTTATGTTGGATTTACATCCTGCCTCCGATGACTGTTTTCGCATTTGGAGTCATTTAACCAAAGAAGAGGGAGCTATGCATGTTCATACCTTTGACGAAGATATAAATAGCCGTTCACTCTCCAACAAACGCAAATCCAAACATGAAACGAAAAGGACACCCAAAAAGAAGAAAAGGTAAACCGGGGGTAGGAAGACAACGAGGTGAGATTGCTCCCATGTTAGCTGCAGTGATTCCAGCTTTAGTGGCTGGAGGAAAAGCGGTCGCGTTAGGAGGTTTAAGTGCATTGACGAATTATGGTAGTAGAAAAGCAATTAAAGTGTTAGAGAAAAAGAAGTATAAAAGGAGGAGACGCCAAGGAACACGAAGAAAGAAATAAACATGGGACGTATGACGAGACAGAGTCATTTTTTAAACGATGTGTTAAAAGAAGCGAACCAAAATAAGCGGCAACAAAAATTACGGTATGCAAATGCAGATCAAATTAATGCTGTGAGTGAGTTAGTGATGAACACATTGCAGGGAGTGACAAACCTAGGAGAAAAACAGTGAGCCGTTTAAAACCATATCGTCAATCTCTTCGAGTCATTGCCAACCCTCGTCAGAGTATAAAAAAGCGCAAACATTTGATGAGTTCACAGAGTGGCGCTGGCGCGTGGAAAGAATTACATCGCTGTTATCATTGTGCTAAAAGGCAATATCAGTCATGAAACGTAAAGTGTTACAACGACTTCTTTGTCCATTAGACTAATGATCAAAGAGTTTCGAGAAAAAGTCAAAGAGAGATGCAGACTCAAACCAATATAAAGACAAGGCTAAACTCTTATTTTCATTAGCAAGCATGGACGGCATTTCATCCACACCGATTGAAAACTCAGTGCAATTTTTACGTTTGCGAGATAAATATAAATCTAATCTTTTAGACGATAGCCGTTTAACCAAAGCAGCCGGTTTAGCCGCTCAAAAAGAACTATTGTTGGAGAGTCCAGCGCCGGATACATGGAAAGAACCCCGTTTAAAATCAGTCAACGGAGAATTACAACTATGGGTTAAGAAAATTCGTCAGCCAGGAGGAACGCGCGGGATAGGGCAGGATGTTTCCGATAGCGATGAGGAAGAGGGAAATTTAGCCATAGGCCCGTTACAACAATTTATGGGAAACATTTCAAAAATCAGTAAGGCTATAAAAAGGAAAGCAGAACCAGTGACCCCTCAATCAGTGTTACAAACGCCTGTGGTCAAACAAACTCCTTCTACGAGTAAAAAACCCAAGTTAACCTTTAAGACCGGATCCAAGGCAAAGCGGCTGTTACCTAAGACCCCTAAAAAGACTCCTTCCCCTCCTTCCAGTGTTTTTAGTACGGCGGACGAAGATGCTCCTGCTAAATCCCCTTGGAAAAAAGCTCAGGAGAGTATTGAAAAAAAATTTAACGAGGCAGCAAAAAGAGCTCAAGAAAGAGCCTTAAAGAAACTCGCACTTGCTCTAGGTTGGAAACCGTTTGGGACACCGGCGAAAAGGAAGATTGGATGGCAAAGACTGGTAAAAAGAAGGTTCGCAGAAAAAGACCGCAAAAGGGAAAGAAGCGCGGTCAGCGTGGGGCTGCGTTGGATATTCACAAATTAATTGAAAAAACAGGCAAAGAGTTTCATTGGCCTAAAATGAATTATCTTGGTCCAGGGACCCGGCTTAAGGAAAGACTGAAGAGGGGTGACCGAGGCGTCAATAGATTAGACGAATTAGCGAAAATCCATGACATCGATTATTCCAAAGCGAAAAATTTAAAGGACAAGTGGAAAGCGGACGATAAAATGATTCGCGCTATTACAAACCTCCTAGGCAAGAAAACCAAACAAGAACGGATTGTCAAAACCATTATGCAAACAAAACGCAAACTTAAGTTGTAATTCTGTTTTTTTATTCACTTAATAAAATTTGATGTTACAATTGAAATGTTGTGTGTGCCTAATTCTTTCTTAAAATGCATTCGAATCACACACTGACTATCTGATTGAAATTCAACTAGATTGCCATTTAATTCTTTGAGCGTGATTTCAACCTCTTCCCAATGATTGTCTTGTACCTCGTAAAAGTTTTCTCGGGTGGGTGAAAACGCATAGCGTTCTCTTCCTTGAGGCGCGTAGTACACTTGACCCAGTGACTGCGTGACGTTCACTCTGTTAGCGGTCACTTTGGCTGAGACTTCCAGGGGTCTGGGGTAGAGGTTTCAGGCATCTTCAAAACTTTGATTGAGGTTAATAAAACGCCAATTGGAGAGAGTACTTAAATGAAGCCAATTGCCAAGTATTTGGGTGGGTTTTCCCGTCTCCAAGGAACTGGCTCCTTTAGTGTGATTGGGGTAGCTATGTACCAAATTTGGTCCCATGCTATCGGCTTGATTAGACTTGGTATTTATCCAATGCAATGTTTCCGCCAACGGTTTGTAGATATAAATTGAATTGTCCGTATGGCTATGAGTTAAGACGAGTTCCGGTTGCACCCCGTCTTTATTCCACGCTAATGTATGCCAACGGGCTGAACTAAACTTAAAACCATCATCCAAACTAGCGCGCGCTGTTTCTTCTGTTCTATGTTTCACGGTATTAAAAAAATCCACCCCTTCATGACAGGCGCCTGCTTTTTCCCATTCACGTAAATCACTTGCACTGATATAGCCTTTTTGCGACACGCCGGATTGATTTGCTTTTTCAGTCTCAGCCCATAATTCCATTAAATTCATATCGGCACTCTGCAAGTCTTTAAATAGAGACATTATAGGCAAAATTGCCGAAGCAATTGAGACTTTCCATCCTTCCCTGTGTAATCTTAACCCAGGTTTGACTTTAAACTGATTTGCCACATTACTCGCGTAATTTTGGGTGACATCGCTTATGAGGGTCAGGTAAATGTTCGACATTTTACGAAAAGTAACTTATCCATCCATGTCCCCTCTATTTATACTAACAGAGACCACACCAATCAATTCTGTCGCAAAGTTAGTTTATTAAGCCATTTCACCTCCCTTCGATGAAATGTTACAAACCCTAATTTAATCTCAAAACAAAGCATGCAATTGTTCTTATCAGGGGTTCGCGCTTCCAAGCTACTGTACCCCTATAAAAAACTGTATACAAAAGCTAAAGCAGGTTGGCGCTACCAAGCAAACCGTACCCGCACTATTTACAAGTCCATTAAAAGTTCGACGTCTCCACCGAACCAATTGTAACCGTAGGGTGTGGAAGAACGAGTGGCGGGGTCAATCACACGTTTATCAAACACAAGTTGATAATGTTTTTTACGCTCCGTGAGCTTGATTTTCTTGGTCACTTGATCCCTTTGGAAAAAATCAGGAATCGTAATAGCCATTCGGGGCGCTTTTTCCAAGGGCTCGTCCAATTCTTTCAGGATGTTTTCTTTCATGGTGTGGTAATTCAAGACTTGTTTCTGTCATAATTCAGCGAAAACCCACGTACTTTGCATTCCACTTTGCCTTTCTTGGTCAGGTACCCATAGTTTTTCGCCCCGCCACTGCAAAATTCCACGATAACGTCACCGCCAATCTCATCAGTGAATTCCCCCAAATACGATCCCAACGGTAGCTTGTCTTGACCCCACTTGGTTTTATAAATGACCGAGTCTGTATCGTAATACAAGACTCGGTCACCTAAAAAATCAAGGGCATCATAGAGCTTTAGGCGAGTCAGCGATGTCGTAAACGCCGCGATGAACACGTTTTGCTTGAACAAGCGTTGGTATTCGTCTTCTGCTTTAGTCACAACCAACTCCATGACGTCTTCAGAGCAGATACGTACACTGTGAATCTCATTCACCGGGTCTTCTAACAGCTGGAACAGATGCGAGGGTTGGGTAATACAGTCGGTCACTGGTTTGTTCTGTCGCTCACCAAATTTGCCCCATAGACTGAAAGATAGAAAGAAAAATTATAAGTTTGTTATTGTTTCCTGCGCAGTCCGCAGATTATAATTTTTGATTTCGATCGTGCATTTGCGTTTGCAGAGTATAAATCATTTCGATAACTGAAATTTGCAGAAAAACACTGCAATGTAAGTTTAAAATCTGCAGACTTTTTAGGCATATTTCCCATACATTTCCTTCTAATTTTTGATTTGTAGCATGCAATTGTGTTTGCACAGTAGTAAACATGTCACGAATTAAAATTTGCAGTAAAACACGGCAAGTTAAATTTTTAAAATGCGCACTCTGACTGCAACTAAATTTCTTAAGTGTTAAAAAAGATTAGTTACTTGTTCAAAAGTAATATCGCAATGCTTTTTCTGCCTGGATTCACAGCAATCTTTTCAGGATCGAGCTTAATCCCCTCGTGTTCTTCATATGGCTTTACGTACTCTGCTTTCTGCTCTGGGGTTTCCACACCTGCAGGCCATCCGGCGCTCTCCTGTTTAAGTTTCAACCAGGTATTCATGTAGCCAGCGAAAAGGCCCTCACGTCTATTTTCTTCGGGGAAGTGCCAGACTTCATGTATTTTTAGGATTTGGTACCCCTTCTCCACCGCTTTTTCTAGTTCCGGAGTACACCAGGTCCCTTTCAGCATGCGCTGTTCGCGTGTGTGACCACACATATTGCTTCGTTCGAGCAGGGGGTTGGCCAACTCTTCTGCAACACAGGACCTGCAAAGAGGAAAAGTAAGTTTTCCCCCTGCCCTGACAGGCAGAACGGGGTGGTACAAACGTTCAGGAGCCAGGATATCCACTTGCGCGAGACCAAAATAATCGTTAATGTTCTGGTTTTCTGGACGATAGATAATCTGCGGGAATCCCACAGGATAAGTTCCATATTTGTTAATGGCGGGGTACAAAGAAGTAAAATCCACATAACTAATCTCCTCGTCTTCTGCTGTTTTAGCGTACAGGGTCGCAGCGCCTGTTCGACCCCCAAAGAACTCGTCTCGCAGCTCAAGCGGCGGGACAAATTCGAAGTTTGCTAGGAATTCGGCCAGCTCTGGGTCGGTTTCTTTCTGTTTGTAAAGTCACAACCCCACATTTCAACCACGTTGTACCCTGCGTCACGAAGGATGGCCGTTTTCTTGAGGGTTGCCTCATAGACTTCATCCACGGCTCGATCTGGATGGCAGAATCGCTTCATATTGCCTTGCTTCGGGTAACATTTACGGAATCCGTGAAAAATGCAGCCCTGATACTCGTAGACAGTATTCTTCTGCTTTTGGGTAGGGTCCAGTGTAATTAATCTTGTCTTAGAAATGTAAGAATAAGGAAAGAAACCCTTATGCGCTTCTTTCAAATTAAATGTCGCCGGCAAGCGTTCCAAAGGCATGTTAAAAGAATTAAGAGAATCCCGAAAAATCACATTACCGCACTGAAACGACAAAAATTTCGCTCGCATACTCAAGACCTTTTCGACTTTGTAACCCTTATCATACAACAATTGCAAAATAAACGAAGAATCAAACCCTCGCATATTGTGAGCAAACACAAATACCTTCCGTTCTTTCATTTCAGCCGTCACCGTTTTCGCCATCACATCGTCCAACATATCCGACGCCTTGCCTGCTTCGCGGTAGCTACCTTCCACATTCACGTATTGCCAACCCACACGAACATCCTCAAAATCATTATTTTCATCTAAACCACATTCAAAGTCAATACAACACACCAGCGGGGGCGGTTCCTCGTCCTCTTCTTCCTGACTTTCTGCTTCGGCTTCAACCAGATCTTCCAGAATAGCACGGTCTTCCTCGCTAAAATCGGCCGCTTGGTCCAGAAAATTGCTGTATTCCATTCCAAGTGGTTGAATGTAACACTGATGCTTTGGTAAAACTTTCTCTCGGCAGTTGGGACAACGGTATTCTCCGCACACATGCTTCTTTTTCTTGGAATACTTGTACACTTTACAGCACTCAGGACACTTTTTGAATTTTTGACACAGACTCACTTTTTTCTTAGCTTTAGAATCTTTGTGAGCGGTAAAACAGTTTTGTCCGTAAAAGGTCTGACCACAATCATTGCAGTAGACATGGGCAGGCTTTCTTTCTTGAAAATCAGAACATTCGCCGTTATTTCTTCGACACTTGTTACAGTTTTGATGAGAACAATTATGGTGCTCTGCATTTTCTTGATCGTAACCTTTGTTACATTGGTGACAGTAATAACTCTTGTTTAAGAGGGCTGGCACACTTCGTAAACCGTAAAAACGCTGTTCCACTTTTAGCAGGCACAGTTTTTTAGGCGAAGAATCAAACGACTCGTCACAATACCATAGCGCCCCACAGACTCCTTCATAAATTTTAATCTGGTACCCTTGAGGACCAAGATGTTCTTGCATTCACTGAATTTCAGGCAACCCGCACATTCCCTCAGGAACCCCGCTTTCTTGATGCAGTTTGTAGGCAAGATGTCCCTGCAGTCCTTTTCCTTCAGAAATATTTTTATACTGCGGGTCTTGATCGACAAAGGCTTTGGTGCAAACCAAGGCACGGGCGAAACACAGTTCGTCTTTGTTCTTAATTGTGATCACAGATCTCTTTTTTAGTAACTGCTCAAACGACTTGTTGCCAGGCTTGTTTTTTGCTGGTCTTCCGCCACGTTGCTGCGTCTTAAAAAAAGACAGTTCGGCGTAAAAATCACCGCTCGCGGCATCAAAACTTTCCGCCGAGTTAAGTTGTTTAGCCAGTCTTTCTAGCCATTGCCGAGTCAGTGGCGATCCCTGAATCCACTCACTCAGTGGAACTCTCGGGCAGCTGGTCCATGTGTGGGTCCCTGTACTGTGATGAATAGCCATGGACATGGAATAATCGTGAGGATTGACAATACCATTGCGAGGATCGCGGATGAAATTAATCAAACCTTGGTGGAAGGCTTCCGCTACCGCTTCACCTTGGTATTCCCCATTCGGCGGACGTAACTGTTGCAGAGAAAATCGGACTTGCATTTGAATTGCTACACCACAGTGAAAAGAGCACGGTGCTCTCACTCGCTCCATGTTAACAGCAAACAAGGGATTCCCTCCTTGTTGGTCTGCTCGGCGCGATGCGATTAGCAGATCGCTTTCATCCTCGGAGTCCATTAATTCTTCCCCTTGACTAGCCGTCCAGTCAGGTATTTCTTCCAACAAAGAATCGAGCCCATCGTTCATAAGTGCGCGAATGTATGGATCCATGATACGAAAACACCGTTTCGAGATAAACTCCGCTTAGTAAGACAGTAAAAACTGAATGACGCTTTCAGAGACGCGAATGAGTTAAATAAGCTGTGGAGTACGTGCTTCGAATGTCATTAAGTTATCCTAAACAAAAAACGTTCAAGGTTGCTCAAGATTGCCTAATGATCTATTTTAACTTAGTCAGCTATACTCTTTGTTCTTTTTCTAATTAACTGAGCCCTTCTATAAGAATTCTTTGTTCGTTTTTCTAATTCATTTTTGGCTGAGTCAGCTTTACTCTTTGTTCTTTTTCTCTGAGCGTTCATTTGACAATCTCAGTTCATTTAGTTTTAAGAAAATCCCTCCCCAGCCTGAGCGTTCATTTGACAATCTCAGTTCATTTTCTTTTTCCCAAAGACACAAGTAAATTACACGCAAACTTAACTTTATTTACATTTTACCTCCCTTCGGTAAAACGGTACAATAACTTTCTTAGTAAATGCAATGAGAGAAACGTATTCAACCGCAAGTCGGCTAAGTCCTTTTCAAAGCACTTTTTTCTTATTTACAAACTGGAACATATCAGATCCCTAATGAATCTGGTCCAACAGAGTTAACTTGATAATCTCGAAAGAACCAGGGAAATTCTAACTTTAAGTGTAAGTAGGTTCGCTCAAAACGTTCAATCATTGTTTCAATAGCAGGAAAAAAAGGATTGTCCACAAGCTTTACATCATTGATCGTTACATTTAAAATTGTAATACGAAAATCAGTGGTCTGCCTATTGATTTCGATCCACTCTGTAAAAGGATATAGCGGCGAAAAACGGATATCTTGCATCACTTCTCTAAAAAAGACCCAAAGATTGGATTACTCTGTGTTCAAGTGCCTGACGTCTTCTTAAAATTCCTGTACCCCTATATAGCTTAAAGATTTTGCGCCGTTCCATTTCAAAATTAACTCTTTCGTAACGGTCATATCTCATCTGACCCGTCACAGTCAAACAATCAACTCCAATTCTGAGACACTGTGAACAGACTCCTTCATGAAACGAAAGCCATTGGGCCGATCTACAAAAATGACGCTTCTTGATTTGTTGCAAACATTTGCTAAAGAGAAACAAAACCGTACATAAATTCTAAGTGTCTACGAATTGGCGTATAGTAAAAACGGCGAATTGAATGAGCCTCTTCATTTTTATCAACAAATTTCTTTTGCCTTTGCAAACGTAAACCGTCTAATGTTAACTGCGTTGTCCTAATTCTTTTACATTGGGAACACATAGGAATCTTTGCATTCACGGGAATCCATTCTGTTTTATGACAATACATGGCCCATTTTCGCTGTTTCAACTGATTCAAACAATTTCTAAAATAAAACATCAACAAGCGCTTTTAAAAACACGTTTTTACAGTTCAATAATACAACATTTGGTCTTCACACTTAACCATGTGCAATCTCTAATCCAAAGCAGGGATTTCAGAATAGGCCTAAAACGGAACATGAACTAAAGTAAATCGTCGATTTGTTTCCACAATCGATTTAAAAACGTAACATCGCTCGGGTAGAAGTTTGAGTTTGAAAAGAAGGCTTGGATAAAACAAATCTGCGTAGACAAACCTGAAATTGACGCGGTGTTGTTCTCTATACTTATTTCTGTCTTCGATGTACTGCTGGGCTTGAAGTTCTTTGGCGATCGGATGACAAGGCACGAGAAACGTATCGGCCATTAAACCCTTGTTAGGGACTGCTTCCAAGGCGAGCTGATACAAAGTCTTCATTTTGTGCAACGGATATTTTGACACTGGGATGAGCAGAGCAAAATGACTATTCCAAATTCACTCTTCCTTTATGCTATTCATGTGAGATTCACGCACATTGGCGCGGAGACAACAAATGTGAAGCGGCAAAAACCAATTAACTTTTCGCCGGTCTTTTAAGTTTTTAAACCTTAGCGGCAAAAAAGTTCGCTGCTCTTTTAAGGCGGCAGAAACAATACCCCTTTTCGCTCTTTTTCAAGTAGGACTCGTTTGTTTTGCAATCTGTTTTAAGATGAACCAGAAAAAATTTTATTTTCAACCATGGCTTCGCCTTTTGAAACCGAGGGAACTTTCCTAACGCAGGAACAAGCAGACCATATTAACGAGAGGCATGTTTTAAAACATGAACATGTGAGAGCATCGAAGTTTGAGTCACAAATTGATTTAGTCGATTTGTTAAAGACTGTCTCTGAACTCACCTGGGAAGAAAACAGCGAAGACGTGTCCGTCATACACGAGGGATGGAACGAATATCATGGGCACTTCTATTTGTTCGTGTTTAAACTAAACCGGCAAATTGGTGCAGATCCGGATGGCTTTCCTGCCAAACACCTCGCTGTGTATTATTCTGAGAAAGTACCAGGCGAAAAATGGCAAATAATCTCAGCCTACCCATTTAACTTCGCCTACCATAGTAAATTTCTGAGTAGGAAGAACAGATCCTACTAATTGTCTTATGACAAAACGGTTCTTTTAAGAACCACCACATGAATAAAAGTCAATGACCAATAATAAGAAAGACTAGTTTATTTTGTAGTAAACTTCCGTCGGGAAGGGGCTTAGCGCAAAGCCTTAGTACTGACGCCAGTGAGTTTAAGCTTACGGGTTCGATTCTCTCTTTCAGGTCTTCCTTTTTCTAAGACCTAGGAGCAACATTATTTTAGCTGACTCAGCGAGTTTTCATGCAAATTTGAAGCGAACATGAATTAGCATACGAAACCATTCACTGGAACGCGTTTCTTATAAAACTACACAGCCATTCTAGGAACTTTTAGAATGCTCACGCTTTAAAGATGTCAACGACTAAGGACCTCGGGGAAGCCTGTCAAGCAGAAATAAAACATCTCAAGGCGGTTATACAATTCAAAGAAACTCACATTCTCACACTCCAAGAGACTATTCGAACCCTCAAACGAAAAGAGATAAGGAGACAACAAAGAGAGAAGAAGAAGAGAGACGCTGAGAAGAAAGAAGTCAAAATTCCTGAGAAGACTTTGATCTATGATAATATGGTTGGCGACCTAGATATCTTATGTCAACAATGTCAAATCTATCTGAAAACACTGTAATAAAATTACTTTTAGCATTAGATCTTTATTTTTCTTGAAATTGCTTGTAGTGGCATGGTAGCGAAATGGTAATCGCGTCAGGCTCATAACCCGAAGGTACGGGGATCAAAACCTTGCTATGCCCTGTTTTTCTTTAATAGAGACTCTATGGCCGAATGGATAAGGCGCCTGACTACGGATCAGGAGATTCCAGGTTCAAGTCCTGGTAGAGTCGTTTTTTCAGAAAACGTTCCGAAAAAGTTCCGAGTCCTCTCTGAGCCATCTTGAATTTTTAATTTGATTGACAACTGAGAACAATAGCCTTTAAACAATAGTGGCGGCGGCATCCTTTGAGCGCCCCAGTGCCGTCTATCACCACAGCACGAAAAGGCAAATTTAAGTTAGCGTAATGGTGGCGTAAAGATAGCGTAAAGCTCTCATTTACGTAACTTTACGACACATTTCAGCCACGTAAAGCCGAACTTTACCTTACCTTTACGCGTATGCGTTAAGGTATCGTAAAGAGACTGTTTAAGCCCTGCGTAAAGTTGGTGTAAATACGCCGTAAAGAAGAGATTTAAGCTAACGTAAAGTTGGTGTAAATACGCTTTAAAGTAGAGACTTAAACCAGCGTAATTGAAGCGTAAAGTTGGTGTAAAGATCTTATTTAGACAATCCTTTTACGCGTTAAGCGGACACGCAAAGGAGTAGTAGTTTAAAAAATAGGGCCCCTTTCCGTTTCCAATTTTGCATTACCATAGCCAATTTTCAAATTGCCCATCTTTATTTTTACATTTCAAATCCCTTGAAAATCGCCAGGTATGCTACATTGTTGTAACTGCAAAAGCTGCAAATACGAATCGCATTCTTTAAGTTTAATTCCCGTAAAGAGTGATCTTACAAGGTTTTAAAAAACAAAACACACTGATACTCTAAAACTGAATTTTCTTAATATAACATGATTTATTTCTGTGTTAGCATCTTTGTCATTACATTAAAAATTAGAAAAAACGAAAATTTTTCCAACACGTAAGGTTTAAATAAGAAGATACAGTGTACATAAACTTTTCAAATGGGTCAAAACAGTCTTCTCTAA